ACGCTTGAAAGTAAGCGAAAAGGAACATTGGTTATAAGCGTAGAAATATAAACTCGTAATAAATGTTCAAAAGAAAGCTTTTTAGAAGCGTAAAAGTGTAAACTTATAATAAAGGTTCAAAACAAGTTGTTTATAAGCGTATGAATATAAACTTACTTAAAAGTTTACGCGGCATTGTTAGTTTTTTTGCTTTCTACACTTAATTTTCGTATATATCTTCTTATGTTAACAATTTCAAAAAAAAATTTAAATTCAAACTACCAAAAAGATTAAAAATGTGACAACAAAATTCAAAATTTTAACTAACACACTCAAGCAATTGTCAAATATGGATATGAGAAAAGGGAAATGTCATTACTTGGTACACTGTCTACACTGTGCACATGGTGCACCAAACAGGTGAAGTAATAATAGGGCTGCCAGACGTCCCGGTTTTCCCGGACATGTCCCGGTTTTAGACTATTTGTCCCGGTATCCCGGTCCAACCATAAAATGTCCCGGGTTTCGTTTAAGTGTCCCGGTTATCGATTTGATTGCACAAATTTTGCATAAAAATGACTACACTGAGAGAAAAAACGCGTTGTAATATTAAGAAAAATTTTATGAATTTACTGGGGGAAATAACGCATAGTAAACAAGAATATTTTTTATTTGATTATCGCTTTGAAATGTTCGTACTTAAAAACAATACTTTCATACCACGCACACGTGGTGTTGAATCAAACTCAACATTTGAATGCACAATTTACATGTCTGGCTGTAGCTGAGTGCACGAAGATGCTTGCCACAATTTGCTAACTTCCAGAGCGTCAGGGTTCAAATCCCATTACAGACAGCATGGAAATTAAATATATATTTTTTTTAACTTAATTATAAAAAATCGTCCGTTAAGTGCAAAGCGCTTCATTTTAATATTGGCGTGTTTGAATTGAATATTTTTATACTAAATACTAAAATTTATATACTTAAATTTATTACGAGTTGGGTTGGTGCTCTTTCATATGCGATTTTTTTTTTTTTAATTTAGCACGTTTTGCACAAGCAATAGTTGATGATTAATATAAGTATGTACCTAAATACGTTAAAATGACATGCACAGAGTTTTAAAATTATATTAAGCAAAAGCCATACGTTTTGAAACAAGCTCACAGCAACGAAACAAATGACTGATATTTTAATGTTACCATGTATTTAATCTTTTTTCTTTCGTGAAACCTAGATTACTTATAAGTACCGTGCCGTACAGAATTATTGGCTAGGAGACTCTTTTATGCGATCACAATTTCTAATCAGATCTTTTAGAAAAATTTTGAAAATGTAGCTTTTTAGCCAATTAGTAAAGTGCAAGTCTGAAGTTACCAGAAAATTTCGTTGACTTTTTGCAATTATTTATTTTTTGCTGACAGTGTCTTCCACATACAAGAAAATGTCGAACATAGTTTGTATGGAAGAAACTCTCAGTAAAAACAATACCAAAATTAAACTAAATTTTTATGGGCCGCAAAACTTAATTTTCAAAATTTTTATAAAAAAGTCTGAATAGAAAGTTGCGAATTTGTATGCAAAATTATTGCATTTTCCCGAGTTTTGCACAAAGTTTAGAAATTTTATTTTTATGTTTTCTGATGTATAAACTCTATTTTTATACATGCATTGTGGAAAATTCTCTGTACTTTAGTTGTGATAAATTGTTTTGTTTTGCTGGTGTACGTTGTAATGATCTCATGATCTCATGTTTTTATGTTTTTTTTGTCAAAATATAATTTTACTACATCCTTTCGTACGTAATTTTTGGAAGGGAGCGAGAGGCCTCTCCTCTGTCCTCTTCCTTTTGTTTGTTTACATTTTTGTCATTGTCTTTTATAGCCCGAACGCAATGAAAACGACGAGCTACAAACCACAGCTGTCAAATTATTTTAACACGTACTCTTATGTAGATAATTATTTTGGCCACGACCGGGCTACGCGACGGCTGTGGTTGTGGCCAGATTAGATCTATTTCTATTTTTCTGGCGACAGATAAGGTTCTTCCTCTTCTTTTATGTCAAACTCATACAAATTCATGATGTCGCTGCCGCGTTCAAAGAAATCATGTCGCCATCGACAAAGCGCTTAGATAATAAAGATGACAAATTGGAAGCTGTGGTCGGTAGCTCGTCGTTTTCAATGTGTTCAGAACTTTAGTCTTCAGTAACATGAACAGAAGTTGGCTGCATTTTATTTATGTCAAATTCAGCATGCGAAGTTTGCTGCGATGAAGGCAGTGGCAGTGAATTTAGAATTTGGGCTAAACTTAGCAGAACTGCCAGCTGCCACTGCTGTATTGTGAGTCGCTTCATTGGACACTACACTTTCTAAAAAACAGCTGATTTCGCAAAACTGCCACTGTCACTGCGTTATTGTATTTTGGGCTAAAATACTTTAGGATTTTCTTAAGGTTTTTACATAACGTTGGAACTTCCTTAAACTCTACTGTAAAAAGTAAAAAAAAATAATAATTTAATTATAGTTGATATATTTCAGATAATATTTCATATACCTAAGAAATAAATACAACAAAAAGTTCAATCGTTTTATGGACATATCACCGGGTCCTTACGTACCAGTTGCGATAATATGGTGGGGTTTAAATTCCTTAAACATAAGGCTGGCGTTTTTTTGTCGAGTTAGTTATCTCGAACAATAACAATTTACTACAAGAGCGTGCAATTGCTGGCTTATGCCGACGACATCGACATCATCGGCAACAAAAACCGCGAAGTCTGTTCTGCCTTTTCCAAGTTCGATGGGGAAGCAAAGCGAATGGGTCTGGTGGTAAACGAGGACAAGACGAAGTATCTCCTGTCATCAAAAAAACAGTCAGCACATTCGGGCCTTGGCACCCACGTCACTGTTGACAGTTACAATTTCGAGAAAGTAGAGAATTTCGTTTACTCGGGAACCAGCATTAACACCGATAATAATGTCAGCATTGAAATCCAATGCAGAATCACTCTTGCCAACAAGTGCTACTTTGGACTGAGTAGGCAATTCAGTGCGACAGTGATGCAAGGCTCACACGTACAGGGGGAAAGTGGTGACAATCTGCACACCGCCCATACAAATGTCACCAGTTTTGAAGTGACCGAAACCCGCGGTTTCACCAGATTTTTCACCACTTTTGGCTGGCAGGGTAATTGATACATAGGAAATAAATTACCTTCTCTACTCCTATACTTGCAGATTCATCAAAAGATTTCGGCTAAGCAAGGAGGCATTCCAGTATGTTTTATCGAAAATAAAAATAAACTGCCATGACACAAAAGCCGTTCCTGCTGCAAGTCTCTCGCTCCTTGCAAGTGGTAGCTAACAGCACACAGTTGGTAGTGATTACCTGATAGGTATGTCGGCCGCTGTGGTGTAGTGGTAAGCAGTGCGCGCTTCCACTCCGCAACGCCTGGGTTCAAACCCTGGTCAAAGCAACATCGTAAAAAAAATAGAAAAAAGGTTTTTTCTTAACAGCGGTCATCCCTCGGCAGGCAATGGCAAACCTCCGAGTGCATTTCTGCCATGAAAAACAGCTTCTCATAAAAATACAATCGCCGTTTGGAGTCGGCGTAAAACTGTAGGTCCCTCCGCTTTGTGTGACAACATCAAGGCGCACGGCACAAATCGGAGGAGAAGCTCGGCCAAACACTATCATATATATAAGCGCCTCTCTATTATTATTATTATGTGCCAGAGCACGGTATCAAAATTGACTGCCAAAGTCTGAAAAGAAATGGAAACCAAATTATATGGTACTCATTAAAAGTATCGCTTTAAAAATATCGGGTGCCCATTAATATCGGAATAAAAGGACTCGATATTCCAAATATCGATACCAAAATCCAAAAGATTTATATGAATATAGGTCTCGTATATAGGCCGCTGTGGTGTAATGATAAGAAGTGCTCAAAACTTGAAAATGAGAAACAGCTTCCCGTTAAAACAAAATCGCAGTTCAAAGTCGACATAAAACTGTAGGGACCCCTTTTGTGCCACAACATTAATAGCCCGAACACAATGAAAACGACGAGCTATGGACCATAGCTGTCAAATTATCTTAACACGTACTCTTATGTAGATAATTATTTTGGTGCCGACCGGGCTACGAGACGACTGTGGTTGTGGCCAGATTAGATCTATTTCTATTTTTCCAGCGACAGATTAGCTTCTTCCTCTTCTTTTATGTCGAAATCGTACAAATTCATGATATCGCCGACGCATTCAAAAAATCATGTCGCCATCGACAAAGCGTTTAGACAATGAAGATAACAAATTGGAAGCTGTGGCCCGTAGCTTGTCGTTTTTAATGTGTTCAGAACTTAAGGCGCCTTTTACAAATCGGAGGAGAATCTCGGTCAAACACTAACATATTGTGTAACCACACGTAGAGATTGAGGTGTTGTCTTAAAACACCGAAGTCGCGGGTTCAAATTCCACCACATGTAATCCTAGATAGATAATTATGAGGTATGCACTGCGACCTGATGATCTATTGTGCCCCTAACACATGCAATCCTAACAACATATATTACACATTTCTGCTCTTAAAAGCCCAATTTATATCGGGAAGAATTGTTAATAACATTATCCTTGTAATGTGAGTGTTGCGAAGACATTAATAGTAATACGAACCTTGTTATAAAATTAAGGTTAAGGTAAAAAAAAATCAGAATTCAAGAGAGTTTATTATAAGAAATACAAATCTCCGTTGTCATTACAGGGTTGCAAAAGGTAAAACAATTCAATGTTCAGTACAACATTACAGCGCTGCAAAAGTTAGTAGGAAAGTAAAAGACTATGCAATAATATTGAACATTGAGTTTATTACATTCGATACGATACTAGGGTTCTGGTACTCGATTCCAAAAAATATCGTTTTAAAACTATCGAGTAGAAAATATCGGTATCAAATGCCAAAAGTATCGATATGGTATCGTATCGTATCGAAATTCGTGTCTCTAGTTCCAGCCCAACGAACCTTCAAGATGTAAGTAGTGGTTTGCGGAAAAATATGAAATACCTGGGGGTAAGAAGAGGCGTTCTAATGAAATGCATAGTGAATCCAATGCTTTTCTTTTTAGTGATTGGATGCGTAGACGGAACACACATTGGTTTAAAAAAGCCAATTAGAGACAAGCACATGTACTTCAACAGGAAAGATAGCCATAGTCTTAACGTTATGCTAGTAAGTTTATTTTCTTTCATTTTAACATTTTATTACTAATATTCCTTTTGCCAGATTTGTGACCACACTTGCAAAATTCTTGCAATAAATTGTCAATATAGAGGTGCAGCCATGACTCTACGCATACTTCCAGTCCTGCTGCTTCCGCAAGGAGCTCCTCAGCAGGTCCACCACCTGCCCACCGGTTGGAAGCCTTGTTAAAAGAAAGCTTCCTCTTTGCGTTGTATTTCTGATCAGCGAAAACCTAGATTAAAAGAAAGTTCGTTTATGTTTACTTTCATTAAAAATATCAAAACCCTACTTTCTTTCACAGCTTCACATCCTTAATTGGCGGCCCTACAGCATTTAATTGTTTGGTGAGGTTTTCCCACAAACGGTTGGCCGTTGCTTTTCCCTGCGAGCAGTTTGGGAGTGAATTCTTTGCCAAGTCAGAGTGTTCGGCCATGAACTCCGCCATGAGTTCTTTCTGCGTAGAGTTTAATTTATTGTAGTTGGTCCTAAAATAAGAAAAATAGCTATAAACTTGTATATGTTTGCACAAATTTTATAATTACTTACATTTTCCAAAAAAAAATATCAAATTTTGCGCGCGTACGTTCGTCAAATATTAATCGAATGACAGTTTGAACGAACGAGTACGTTCACTCGCTCATTCACGCGTGTCATAATACCGAATTCCGATATGAGAAGTTCATTCACGTCTGTCACAATCCGATTTTGTCATATTTACGTGACTAGTTGCTCGTTCACGACTGTTACGATTCGAGCCCAGATCTATTCTAATTGGCCCATGGAGCTAGATACTGTTTTTAGCGAATCGTTAGTCTTTCAAAGTTTTTGCGTAGTTGAAAAATTTAATTTAAGCCATGAGGAATTATAAATGAAGTCCCTAAATAGTAGTACTTTTCCACAGTTTGAAAACATATGTAATTAAATTTTTTTTTCACTACCCCTCTTAAACAAAGCAACTGAAAGGATCTTAAGTATAAAGTTTGCTTCCCGGCGCAAGGAGGGAAACCGGCTTCTAACTAAAATTATTTTAAGTGAACTTCATATTAAAAGTAATCTTAAAATGAAATGTATAGAATTCTTTGTCTATTTGAATACTGAAGATAGAAATTATCTCATTATAGCCATTCAAAAATGTCATAAATAAAAAATAATTTATTGGCTTCTGTGTACAATGATGTGTAAACTCATGTTAAAATGAATAAGACTTTTATTTTTTATGAACTATATTTTATTTATATATAAAATATTGTTAGAAACAAGTACTCTGGCGTTTCAAAGTATTATCTGTAACTTACATTCATAATGTTGCTTTGAACAAAAATTTCCTGAAAAGTACTGATTTTTTTGGCATGAAAAAGTCTAGCGTACTGATTTCGCGCCTAAAAAAATCTGGCAACCCTAATAATTTGTTTAAAACATTGTTTTTTCTAAAATTTTCCGATTGAATTTTTGTAGAAATTTTTTTTTTAACTTACCGTTTGAGTTTTTGTGGAAAAATACTATATAATTTATTTGTGATTAAAAAATTAATAATGCCTAAGCCAAGCTGTGTAATTTGCAGAAAAACATGGACTTACGAAAACGTCCGTTTGTTCCATTCACCAGCGGAACCCAGGTTATGCTGAATAAGTCGGATATTTCAAATATTTAATGGTGAAGTCATTTCTGGCACCACCAACTTCTCCGAAAAATTATTATCCCACAGCCATGAAATAGACCTTCCAATAAATGTGAAAAAGCTATGTTTTATGTGCAGGATGCATTTCCGTAATAATAATAATAATAATAGATTGGCGCTTACACATATGTTAGTGTTTGGCCGAGCTTCTCCTCCGATTTGTGGCGTGCGCCTTGATGTTGTCACACAAAGCGGAGGGACCTACAGTTTTACGCCGACTCCGAACGGCGATTGTATTTTTATGAGAAGCTGTTTTTCATGGCAGAAATACACTCGGAGGTTTGCCATTGCCTGCCGAGGGACGACCGCTGTTAAGAAAAAAACATTTTTTCTATATTTTTGCGATGTTGCTTTGACCAGGGTTTGAACCCAGGCATTGTGGAGTGGAAGCGCGCACTGCTTACCACTACACCACAGCGGCCGACGGCATTTCCGTATAAATTATTTAAATAAGCGCTTGAAAGGCAAAAGGTATAATCGATTAATCATTATTAACCTCCCATATTTAAATTTATTTATTTAAACCTCATAATCATTAATCAGGGCTGCCAGACGTTTAGAGTCTAAGATCGGTACAAAGACAAAAAGTGGTGGGAGGAAAATCCGCACGAAAGCCGTATGCTCAAATTTGTTTGGCGAATACGGGAATCGTACTTTTAATGACATAAAATAAAGAAACACATATTTCCACTACTCCTATTTAGTGATTGCTTCACAGACAACCTTATTATTTTTCTGACTAGAGCTTTTCAACAAAAACTCAACAATCGAAGTCTACCAATAGATTGTTATACGTAATTTTAAAATCCTATAAATCCTCTTCTCATGTTTGATTTGTAAGATCGGGTGAAAAATAATCAAGCTGTTAATAGATAAGTCCCTCAAGTACGAAAATAGCGGATTTTTTAATAAAAAAATGGAGGGTTCAGGAACTATAAGAAACCTATGAGATATGTGTAAAACAGGCAAATTTTTACAATATGAAAAATTTTTTGTATTCACGGCGCTGTTTTCATGTATGTAATTTCATCTCTTCATAAAATTATCAAGATTTGGCTATGCATCCGTCGGTGAGTCCTTGGAAGTATTCTTTGTGCAAACTCTTTTTTACTAATTTCACCATTTTGAAAAGTGTTTTTGCCTACTTTTATTAAGATTTTTGTATGCATTTGTAGGTGAGTCCGTGAATTATTATTTGTGAAAAATCTTTTTTACTAATTTCCCCATTTTAGCAAATGTTTTTTTGCACAAAAATACAGTTTGTGCGGTATTAACATGGAGTTTTGAAATCGTAGTTGGACCTTTCATATAGAATGATATACACACTTGTCAATCTGAGTGGTCTTCAGAATCTAGGTTCTTGATTGCTTATCTTTGTGTGAACTCAAATTACTCTTATTCGCGTCAAAATCTTTATTTAAGTTTCTAATTATTGTTTATTACTAGACATCGAAATTCTATGAAATTTGTATATGCAGAAAATATGAAAAAATATGCAAAAGATATGCAAATAATATGCAATCAATACTTACGTTAACAGGGCTTTGTATTAAATCAAAGCAAGTTCCTGCAGAAAAATTTTATGTACCAATCCAGCTTAAACCCTGCTATTTATTTAGTAAATCCATTAATCTTTTAGTATGTTGTCTACAACATCTATATCTATGTATGCAAATCCTACTAATATTATGAATGTGAAAGTTTCTTTGTTTGCTTGTTTGTTGGCCCATAACGCGGAAATGATTTGCATGAAATTTTGCTCACAGATAGTAGATGACATAGGTTGGAAAATATGCTACTTTTTAAGGGTTGCCACTTGTTAAAAAGTTAAATAAAATTAATAATTTCAATCAAATATTACAATACAGGTGTCAAACGAAAAAATGTTTAAGAGAGCTTAATTTCGAAGATATTTTTCAATAGGGCTGCCACCTGTTTGAAAATTAAATTTTTCACACAGATGGTTTATGACCTGGATTGAAAAATGGGCTACCTCCTTAACCGCTTTTCCGATCAGAATCAAATTTGGCACACTTTCTACGGATTTTACAAGGATGGTCTTAGACTGAAAGTAATTCCGATAACTCAAGGCCCTTCCCATACAAATAAGTTATATGAAATATTAAAATATTTGTTGTCAGACGAAATATTGTTAGGAAATCTTTAGGCTAAACATTAGGATTATTTTTGAAGTGCTTGAAGAGTGTTGCGCCACCTGTTCAAAACTTAAATTCAATTAAAATTATTCAATAAGTTAAATGAATTGTTGCAAATAGGGGTGTCAATCTCTTTATTGAAGTATTGTGGATCGATTTTTCGTCATACCTTGTCAAATTTGGTTTGGAGACAAACCGGTTTTGGCGTTGCGCTATCTTCAGTATCATTTTTCGAAAGAAAGGGATGACGGAAAATCGTTCCACAATACACCATACTCCTACCCTGTCGGAAACACTAACAATGAAAATGAGAATCTGTTTGTTTATTTTTATTGAAATAAATTACACCTAATGTAACACGCAGATTACATATACTTTACATGTACATTGTTCCAACAATTCAAAAGACTTTTAATTCGAGAGTGGTTCAATAAATCCAAAATTTTATTTCACATTGCAGTACACTACTAGTACTTTTTCTAAATTTTCTACATTAAATCTTTGCCTTTTATCATTTAAAATTATTTTAAATGATGAAAAAGATCTCTCTACTTCACAAGAAGTGATTGGAGCGAAAATAAATTTGTTCCAAAATTGCTGAAGCAATGATATTGATATAGAAAGATCTTCAGGATTATTTAAAAAATAAGCAAGATTTCGAAGCTCAGAAAAAAACGAGTTTTTTGCTAAAACCTCAGAGAGTTTCTCTCTTACGGTTTTGCCATAGTCCCCAGGGACATTTTGAAGGGATGCTTCACAGTCCAAAATAATTTTTATGGACTCGTTCAGCCGCATTCCCTTTGTCTCTAATTTTTCGATGCTCTCTGGGATTCTAGCAATATAACTTTTTATAAAAAGAAGACATCGCAAAATTTGAGGACCTTGAACTGCGTTCTGTGCATTTTTCACACAATCTGCTTCTGGTGGAAACTTTTGAACAATCTGAAAAACATATATTTAATTACTTTGAAACTGCATTTTTTTTTTTGGTTATTACCTCTTTAATTTTTTCAAAAATTGTCAGCATAAAAGAGAGCTGCGTTCAGCCAAGTACTCCATCGCGTAAGAACTGGATTTGGCGGTAAGGAGCCATTACCCATAAAAATTCGGGAAGGTGATTTCAGCAATGCCTTTTTCATAGCGGAAATAAATTCGTTTACTTCTGGAAAAAGTGATCGAATTTTTTCTGCAACTCTGTGAAGGCCATGAGCCAGACACGTCAAATGCTGCAAATTTGGATAAAAAACTGACAGGCTGCTTTTATCATGTAAGGAGCTGCATCCGAAACCAGCAGCAAAACCTTATCACTGTTTCCTCCACATGGCCAGAGCTTTATTAAGGCGGCCTTCACGAATCGTGCTACAGCATTACTGTCGGGACGATCCAGCTCTTTCCTGCACAGCAAATGAGGCGTTGAGGGCTTACATTCTTTAAATATCCCTACAACTAAGTTTGCTATGTAGCGGCCAGTTGCATCGGTTGTTTCCTCAACAGAAATACATATATAATTATTTCCAATGTCTGCCCTTATGGCCTTCATAGTTGCTGTGTAGCACTTATCCAGGTATGTTTTCCTTATTGTTGATTCATTTGGTATTTGTCGCTCGGTATATTTTTGGAGGAATTTTTTCCAACTATTTTCTAATACATTCCACGGAATATTCGCCGAAACCATGGCTTGGCACATTTCAAAATTGAAGTCATGCGGATTTGAGTTTCTCTCATTGCCGATATTTTCTACCAAATTTACTGACTATTAATGAAATTTGGTATTCAAGTGTTGTTGCAGTTGATATTTTCTGGTAGAATTAATCTTCAGAATTCATAAATTTAATAATATTAATCAGCTGTAAATTAATTTTACGAATTTCGCAAATTTTGCATTTAAAAAGAGAAATGCTTACTTTTTTCAATATAAACATTCCGAAATTGTAAGCACCCGCACTTCTTTCACCCGTTTATTTATATTTAGTTGAGACATTTCTGATAACTACTAATGTGAAGGGATATTAAAAAGACACACGAAATGCAGATCGCCTGACTTGTCGGATAAGTTCGCTATTCTTAGGTTGCAAACAGAGTGGAAGCGAAGCCGAAGACGAAGATGAAGACGAAGCCGAAGACGAAAAATAGTGCAATATTAAACATATGAAAGAATTGAAGCTCGGAACACTTTGACGACAGCAAGCGACAAGCAGCATCTGTCAAATTTTAAATACACACGTTCTTACGGACACAATTATTTTGACGACAGCACGACATCTTGTCTGCAGGACTGCAATTGTC